TTGTCTTTTGCGTCTTCTCTGGTGAATTTGATGCTGTCGTCTAGATTATTTATGTGTTCGGTGAATCCCTCAACTTCCGTTGTTTTGATTTTGACAAAGGTGTCATCCACATATCTAAACCAATGGCTTGGTGGGGAACCTTTGTATGAAGACATTGCCAAATTTTCAAATTCTTCCATGTACAAGTTAGCCACAATGGGAGACACAGGGGATCCCATGGCACATCCAAAGACCTGGTGGTAAAACGTGTCCCTGAATTTGAAGTAGGTTGTGTTGAGGCATATTTCTAACAGTTCACAAATGTGTTCCGGCAAAAGTTTAGTTCTTTCAGCGAGCGTTTTGTCATCTAAAAGTTTTCTTCTCACAGCCTCTACAGCCCTGGCTGTGGGCACCGAGGTGAACAGGGCGGTGACGTCGAAAGAAACGATTGTTTCGTCATTCTCTACTTTTAGGTCTCTAATTTTGTTGACAAATTTTTACCCACAGGTACAGATGACGACTGACGGAACCCTTTCTACGATGGAACTTTCCTGTACGACTGAGAGCCTCCACAAGCAGCATTGGAAAACGTGAAGAATATTTGGTCTCCTACAGCAGAGGTGCCCATTACGTCAATTGCGATCGACCGGTAGATCGCGGACTGGTCCCAAGTCGATCGCGAGGGGTGTAGAGAAAAAACAACAACAACAAAAAAACAACCATTTGTGTGTCTTTGTGCATGTTAGTAATATATTTTTTGTGTTAATGTACACTGCACCCTAATCATCCTATCAGTCTCATTTTCACAAAAAGTATAAAAAAATAAAATAAAATAAAGCAGGTAAATCTTTAACCTACGGTGGCACGTGACTGCGTCACCGGAAGTTGTTAGCGCTCAGCAATCTGCAATTGGAGCTTGTGATCAGAGCTGTTGCGCTATATCTTTTATCGTTATCATTATTCTCATTCAGAGTTTGCTTCGTGTACGATTCACCAAGGGCACGGGCAAAGAATAGGAATCTAGAGGGCCGAGGGAAGCACTTTAAAACGGAACGTGTTTGCTACGATAGTTAACAGGCTGCAAAAGTGCGTCGCATGCCTCCATGTCAGGCTGTTGCTCATCATGGCGTGCGTGTGTATGTGCGTGCGCGATAACGGGTCGACCGCGGGAGGTTGGTTGATCGAAAAGTCGATCTTCGGTCCAAAACGTTTGGGCACCCCTGTCCTACAGAAACTATATAAAAACAAAAAACATATTTCCCTCCCACATCTTTTTCCATTTTCAAACATTTTTGCAAAAGTTCCAGGGAGCCACTAGGGCGGCACTAAAGAGCCACATGCAACTCTTGAGCCACAGGTTGCCAACCCCCACTCTATATAAATAAAGCTGTATTGTATTGCAATTCCTTTCGCGTAGCACCATCTAGTGGATGCATAGCGCTACCGCTATTGTATGTGCCTAATAATGCAGTCTGCCCTATATTTGAAACAATTTAGAAATAGGCCGTTCACTGACGGTGCGCCTCATAATCCAAAGCGCCTTATAGTGCAGAAAATACGGTACTTTGAAGTATAATTGGTAGTTGACTTTATGACCCACACATGGACCCCATTCCCACCGACTCCTGCTAACCGCACACTCACTGTGTCAACCTGTCGCAGGACTGTCCCCTCTCCAAAGAACACAGGCTTGCGGGCATCTACCAAGATCAAGTCAAAGTAAGACTGCCAAGGTCTGTGGATCGTACCCAACTACAAAGGAAGCAAACACACAAATATTTCATAAAGGGTTCTCATGTACAACAAAAGACTGAGAGAACGGTCTTTGAGATATTTCGATAGGCTGCTGCTAAATCTAAATGTTAAGCATCCCAATTTTAATTTGTGCTTACCTTTTGACCATGTGGAAAATCAAATAAGTAGGTCATTATTTTCTGCAAAGACAGAGGAACAAAAGCTGAGCAAATCCAGACATTCTGGTCCACGATGCATATAGACTTTCTTTCTTTCAACATTTGTTTTTAGCACTCCCTTCTAGAGGCAAGTGTAAATATCGAGCTCACCTCGGTGTATTTGTAATCACTGTTGGTTGCAAGAAACACTTTGGCCACTTCATTCATGCGACTAAGGAGGAGAGGAAGCTTTGGCTTGATGGGAGAAAAAAAACAAAACACAAAACACAGAAATATTATGGGCAATTTTGCCACAATTTTGTTTTTAATGGTTCACAGTTTCTCTCTTAGTATGAAAACTAATGTGTTTTACTTACATCCTTGACCACATATTTCTGCAGGTTTTCAACAGTCTTTTCTTTTAAAGACCCCTTTGAAAAAAAAAATAGCAAAAGTAATTCACGACACACCAAGATGACTATTGTAGAAAAGATCGTTAATCTACCTGGAAATGAACCCAGTCCACAGCATCTCTTACATCTTGGAATATGCTCTTATATGACATATAAAGATCACCATCGATAAAGCCAGTCTCACAACTGCGGGAAATAAATCCATGTCATGAGGCGGTGCGCTGCAGTTGCAACATCTATTCTTAAAATCTTGATGGGATGATGAAAAATGTTCCTGAATATGATCAGCGTAGCCGGAGGATGAGCTTCCAAATTAAGCTCCACAGTCAGACCAGTAAGGAAGCAATGTGTACTGTTCGGAATTAGGACCATACATTTACCTTGAGTATCGACAGCAGTTACTGAAGAAGTCAACCAAGCAGGCGATGAGGTAGGTTTCTGAAAAGGAACATTTATCAACAAAACATTTTACAATGTTTCAAATACACGACATGAATTAGGGCATCAGATAGATATGTTTTTGGGGTGGGGGGGGCCATGCCGTTTCCACTATTTGGCAGAATAATACAACTCTGACAACCGATGAATAGGCTGATTCATTTAAAAATATATAAAATGAATACTATAATTCAAATCAATTTTACAAATCAATTTTCTAAATCAAAACATTATATAACACGAATACGTACACCGTCAAAACTTCATGCCTCTGCCTTTTCACACACCTGACACTCACTATTTGGAGCTTCCTATTTAACCCTTTTTGGGGGGGGCATATGCGCCACCATGCGTTAGAATCAAGGGCTTACAAAAAGAATGTTATACTATGGCTCCAACACAGCCAATGACAATCATCTGGCCATTATTGTGGACTCCTTATCACAAATCTTAAGAGAGGTACAGCCATTGCTAAGCACATTCATTTCGAACATAACTCAACTGGGCAAGGCGGATGACCACCTTACACACAGTCTTGGTTCTGTTCGAGGTTTTTGAATCCGACTCCCTATGGGAAGTGCTTTGAGATACATTTTGGTGTGAATTTGTGCTCCATAATTAAGATCGACTTCATATGACAGTGAGCATATCCGGACTGAAAAGCATTCACATGTAGCACAGATGATATCGGCTAAGTTTCCTTTAAAACCCATGTCAAGAAGTTTTGTTTGGGTTTAGATTATTACCAGGCAAGTTGAAGAGCGTGTTCAGGATGTAGAAGCGCTCTGTATCTCCACGCTGAATAAATTTGTTTGGGTACATCGCTCTGATGTCAGCCCTATGCACAAAAGTCAAAAAAAAAAAAAAAAGTAAATAAAATTACTCAATTAACAAGAAATTACCGGTACTGTAAAAAATTCAACAGTCAGTACAATCACACACAAGAAGAAGTCACTGTGTGTGTGTGTGTGTGTGTGTGTGTGTGTGTGTGTGTGTGTGTGTGTGTGTGTGTGTGTGTGTGTGTCAGAAATGTATCACATTGTTATTTCAGTCCCCTTTATCACCAATCCCCACCATCCCCTCCCGCCAAAAATATCCACATTTAGCGGTTACTCCAGTGGACAGCTTTCCCATTTAACTTAATGGGGAAACAATTAGGGAATGAACGCGGCCCACTGCAAATGGAACAGTGCTGATTCCTGCAGTTGGTATCACTCAAACGTATTATCGTCGTGGTTGAAGCTTGCATCCAAACAACAAATGTTATTGAGGCTTTTCAAGAGGGCTTTTATTAACAGTGACGAGTGCAAGCACCCTTATCCAATAAGCAGTTTTTTTCACCATCATTTTGATGTTACTACAAAGGAGTAGTATTCTAGCTAACACGCTGTCTTATTGCTAATAAAATGTTTGGATTTTTACACATTTAACCCTATCATGCACCCTGTAACCTGATAATTAGCTGTCCACCGTAGTAACCACTGTCCCTGAAAGGGTTAATCACTACGTTTGAGAGTTATAGGCCTTCTGTTTGCATATGGGTCATTTGACTTTTGAAAATTAAAACACGTGTTTTCTTCCTTTCCTTTTGTATGAATACATTCTACAGCTTCATACGGTGTATGTAAAATCAAAACTTTCCAGCAGCTGCGTGAAATGTATCGACAACATGTGCACGAGATCTAATTCTCACCCTCTAATGAAGTTGAAACCGTGCACACAAACAAGGATGTTCCCATAAGCGTCCACTTTGAGCAGGTTGCCGTGCATCGTGTCAAACACAAGGCCTCTGAGGAAAGAAGAGAGGGAGGTGACTGACTCTTCACAGTATTTGGCAGTGTGTCTGTGACCAAACTGGAAGCTACTTTGGATTGTTGTCAGTTCCATCAGTTTAAAACACCAACAAATATATGGCATTTTAACATCAAATTAATGAAAGTGTTTAGTGGACTTACCGCGTGGGGAAGGAAGGATCGTAGACAAAGTTGAGGAGCTCCTGCGGATATCCAATGGATACCAGGCGCTCCACTGTCAGGTCGAAGCCGAGCGCCTCATACTCTGGAGATTTATACACTTTATACACACAGGGAGACAAGGTTTTGTTTAGCAGAGCTCAGGAAGAGCATCGACATTACACGCTGTCATTCAGTCTAAAGCAGGGGTGTCAAACATATGGCCCGCAGGCCGGAACTGGCCTGCAAGGAGGTTCGATCAGGACCGCACGATAATTTAAAAGTGAAAAAAATGCATAAAAGACACGAAATGAATAGTTTTAATAAGGTGCAATTCATGAAATATCCGCTAGGGGGACACTCTGTTTTGATCAGAGAAGAAGACAAGAGCAGCCTCAGTCTGTCGCTGAGACAGACTAAACACACCAGACACTATCAAGGACGTGAATACTTTATTCTTTACACATTTAATAGCACTCTCCTTAGTTTGTAAGGTGTAGGCAGGGATTACATTTAGATTTTATATGCATGTGTAAATGGTTTAAAAATTCCTTTCTTTATAAATTCCGTTTAATCTTAAAGTGCATTACTATATTTTTCAGTACCAATTGCAATACCAATTAAAGTTTTGTGCCTTTGTACAATCAGTGGGATCAGTTGCAATGCATATATGTGAATGATAAAAGTAAATTGCACATTTGAACCTTCATGAAATGTTTTGTAAAAGATCTGTTTATTAAATTTCAACATTTTCCTAATGTTCTTGTGCTTCTTTAGACCAAAATGAAGGAAAGACATTATTTTGGTTATTTATAGCAGAGTATGGTATAATTTTAATGGTCCGGCCCACTTGACATCTATTGAGGCCGTATGTGGCCCACAATGTGAAATGAGTTTGACACCCCTGATCTAAAATATCCATGTCAGAGGCAGTGCTCTCCATATTTGTACATGGTTGCAAAGTAGTGAGTTTTAGCCAGCTCTTAAATATTCCATAAGAACCGAAACTACTTCAGTTTACTGATATACGGTATCCACATGTAGCTTGTTCGATGATTTGGGCAAATGGCCGTTTACGGTTTTCCAAACCACATGAAAGTGAAAACTCGCTTGCGCGAAAATATTTACACATGAGCAAATATATGTTCAATTAACACAGGCTTATGGTCCTTGAGCTCTCCGTAACTTGGAAGTTATTTTCCCAGCCATGTTGCTTGCTTTTTGTCACGTGGATGGCGACGATATTGTGAACCATTATAAAAAATAAAAATCATATAAACACCCAAATGCTGTTGAATTGCTGACATCACGGCACGTTGACGTAACGCGGCACATCACAATGCCAAGAACAGCAATGGCGTTAGAACGACAAGAAAAATAATTAGATTACTTAGTTATTCAAAAAATGAACGGCGTTATACTTAAACGCCATTATTCCCAACACTGGTCATGTGAGAGCAATTTGGTCTCTATTCACTTTGTATTGCCCTAAACTAGTCTTCAAGACTCTGGCAAGGGTTGACAACTAGCCAGCCTGATCACCATCCTGATCATTTGAATCAGATGTCTTGGCGGAGGGAAACTTCGAAAACAGGCATGACAGGTGTTGCCTACTTCTGGCAATGAACTAAATTCGAGTTTCCGTGAAAAAAAAATTGGATTTGAGTAGTGTTCCGTGTGAAAACAAATTTTTGTAGTTCCACGTTGAGTGTGACTGACTGATATCAGATTTCAATTCTATTTGTACTGTTCCAAAAGATGAATGTGTGCAAACACATGAAAGATTTTATACCGCAGGGGTACACAAACGCTCAAGCACCACTTACCCGCCAAAGTGTAATCCATATCAAAACCAAAACATTTGATCTTCTCCATTGCTAAGCTTCGGTTGACAAACACCCTGCAATGGGAAATTAGTGTTGGGTTAGAAACATGCACCGAAACTGGCTACCTGCACACAGCCCCACAAATGATTCGCAGGAATCTTACACCAAATGATGGAGTGAATGAAATTAAAACATTTATTCTATTGACAATTTTATCTTTGAAAGTCTTTACACAGACTACAGTTATGTGGCGATCAATCTGTGTCAAGCTTGGGATAAAAAAAATCAGCTCAAAATCTCATTTCGCTTGATGATCCTGGACACCCATGTATTAGGAACACTGCACATGCTATTCAAAATCCTCAAAATGTAGGCAAATTCATGTTTATTATTTTTTTACACACTCAAAAATGTACCGGTACTGTACAAAACTTAAAATTCTTGTAAACGTTGATTTCTGGTGAATCAATGAACTGCAGATTTAAAGAACTCGAATCACAACATTGTATCGCAGGGAGTCAACCGACATCGGGCACCATTTCTGGCTAAGATGTTTCACCAGCACTCCTCAGCGTTTCTTGGTTTTGCCTCAGAAGCAAAATACTTGATGTCGTCTCACAATGCTCGATTGGATTTAAATCCACGGATTGAGCCGGCCACTTTAGAGGGTTAATCTTGATGACCCTGAATCAAGATGCAACCCGATTCCTCATGTATTTGTGGTCGTTGTCTTGTTGAAACACATTTCAACAGTTCCTCTTTCCCGAAGGGAAACATGACCTCATCAAAGAATTGGATGTATTGTAACTGATCCAAGACCATGCCGAAATTTTCTTTACAGTGGGCTTGAATGCTGCCGTTAGAGGGGGTGTTTGCCAAACCGTCTGCAATGACTAGACCACAAAAGAACATTCTTGCCTCGACAACATTTGTGCAGTTCTTCTTGAACCGACGAATGCCTTCTTCGGCAAATTGTAACCCAACATTGCTTTTCCCTGGCCAGCCGTCCTGAACTGGGATACCAGTTCACATGTGCTAGATACAGTATTGGTCAACTCTATGCAACACAGACGTAAAGCTGTTCCTAGAAACAATGCCTGTTAGAACGACGGTAAATTGTCATATAGTACTTCACAGGAGCACTACAGCAAGCAATTTTCAGTTTATGGGTCAATGACAAATCAAGTATCAGAAACAGCATGTTCAATATAGATAGATGTCAAGTCCGTATTTGTATCCAGAACACTTTGTTTGAACAGGTCTCATTTACTGAAGTTCTTTTTTGACCATTTTTTTCAATGGTATTTTCAATTTTTCAACAAAATATGTCAGCTGGTGCAACCAGATATTTAGAGAAACATACAGTGTATACATCCATAACCCCTATTTTAATCAGGATCAAATTTATTGTCCAAATATGCAAAAAACACACAAGGAATGTACTTCCCAGTTACAACCCATCCAGGGGAACATAAACAGCAATAAACAACATAGGGGAGATTATCAGCACAACAATTCTCTAGCTATTCAGAAGAATTGATGATTGTGAGATGATGGCACAAACTGGTGCAAAACACCACATCCAGGCAGAACTAAGGAGGAGATAAGGCCTGCAAGGGTGAAGGCTAGGCTAAGAGAGCAGCAAATGTGGCTTCCATTGATACACTTCCATAAACAAAGGGGAATGGTAATACATGAGTGAGTTGATAAAGAGTTGCCACCGCAAATCGACCAGCAGATCTATCGAGAGTATACCTTAGAGACGTCTCACTCAATCCATCCATTTTCTACTGCCTATGCTAGGTTGGCCCTCTGATGCTAATGTGGACAGGATTTATTTCTGTCAGGGTCACTAAAGTGGGAAAAACAAATGGTTGGAAATGCATCACGTCTAGTGCTGTGAAAAATTGTTGGCTCTCTTCTCAAATTTTCATTTTTTGCATAGTTTGCCCACTTTAATGTGTAAAACATCATCCATCCATCCATTTATCCTTTTTCCTGATCCACTTATACTGACAAGGGTCGTGGGGCGTGCTGAAGCCTATCCCAGGTGTCTTCGGGCAGTAGGCGTGGTATACCTTATACTGGTTGCCAGCCAAACGCAGGGCACACAGAGTTGGACAACCATCCGCCTTCACACTCACACCAAGGGACAATTTTAGAGTGTTCCATTAACTTGCTACGCATGTTTTTGGAAAGTGGGAGGAAACCAGAGTACCCGGAGAAAACTGACGCAGGCATGGGGAGAACATGCAAACTCCACACAGGGAGGCCGCAGCTGGAATCGAACACTGCACCTCTGCACTGTGAGGCCGACGAGCTCACCAGTCGACCACCGGGCTGCCTTTAGGATATCATACAAATGTAAATATCAGACAAAGATAATATAAATAAAGTACGCTGTTTTTAAATGCTGACTTTATTTTTCAGTGAAAAAAAATATTCAAAGCAACCAGGCCCTGTACGAAAAAGTGCTTGCACAGCTGCATCCTCAACCAAATAACTGGTTGGGCCACCCGAAATCAAACATTTCCTACAACTGGCAATGAGTCTTTCACAGCTCTGTGGGCGAGATTTTGGGACACTCCTCCTTACAGAATTTCTTTATTCAACAACACTTGAGGGCTTTCGAGCATGAATGGCATTTTTAAGGTCAAGACATAGCAATTCAATCAAATTCAAGTCCAAACTTTGACTCGGCCGCTCCAAAACTTCATTCAGTTTTTTAACCCGTTCAGGGACAGCATGTTATCAGGTTGCAGGGTGCATGAAAGGGTTAAAGACATTCAGAAGTTGACTCGCTGATGTGTTTTGGATCATTGTCCTGCTGTGGAACGTGAGAGTTCCAGCTAGAAGTCACAAACGGACGCTCAAACATTCTTCTTCAAGATTTTCTGGTAAAGAACAGAATTTGTGGTTCCATAAATCACAGCACATTGTCCTGGTCCTGAAGTAGCGAACAGCCCTCGACCATCGCACGACAACCACCATGCTGGACTGGTCGTATGATCTTCTTTTTCTCAAATGTTGTGTTACATTTAGGCCAAATGTAATTAGATATGCACCTTCCAGAAAATTTTAAATTTGTGTCGTTGTTTATTTCTTTATTTTTGGTAAAATGTAAGATGAACCTTTATGCTCTTTTTGGTCAACATCGGTTTTTGAACTCTGCCATGAATGTCATTTTTGCAGATTTAAGCAAATACGTGTACTCCTTTGTCTCAAACACTGTATGTAAAGTATAATCACTGTTTACATATTTTAAACGTGCTGCTACCCACATACACTGACACAAAAATCCCAAGGCAGGGAACCAACCCTCCTTCACGGTTTATCAATTATCGCGGCAGGGTCCCGGTCCTCATGAATCGCGATAAGTGAGGGAACACTGTATATATTTGCCTAAAAGAGGATAAGTGACGATAGAAAAAAGAGAGAAGTGACACGATGAAAACTTTTCTATTGTCTCTGCAACATACCGTATTTTCTAGACTCTCAATCTCTCCTGATTATAAGTCGCACCAGCCATAAAATGCATAAAGAAGAAGGAAAAAAAACAACATTAGTCACACTGGAGTATAAGTCGCATTTTTGGGGGAGAAAGTTGTTTGATAAAAACCAACACCAAGAACAGACATGTCATCTTGAAAGGCAATTTAAAATAAAAATAAAATAGAGAGGGCGGCCCGGTGTTCCAGTTTTTAGCGCGTCGACCTCACAGTGCAGAGGTTGTGGGTTGAATCCCAGCTCCGGCCTTCCTGTGTGGAGTTTGCATGTTCTCCCCGTGACTGCGTGGGCTTTCTCCGGACACTGCGGTTTCCTCCCACTTTCCAAAAACATGCATGGCAGGCTGATTGAACACTCAAAATTGTCCCGAGGTGTGAGTGTGAGTGCGGATGGTTGTTTGTCTCTATGTGTGCCAGTTCACCCCCCCCCCCCCCACCATACTGCCCAAAGACGGCTGGGATTGGCTCCGGCATGCCCCGCAACTCTTATGAGGATAAAGCGGTTCAGAAAATGGATGGCTGGATGGATACAAAATAGAGAACAACAGGCTGAATAAGTGTACGACATGCTAACGTCCATCTCTCAAGCCAAATCACAATACTACTCTGGACTCATCTGCTCTAATACTGGAAATACTAGGACTCTCTTTTCTATCGTGAACAAAATCACTCAACCCCCTGTCTCCCTACCCCCCCGTCCCCACTTTTATTCTTCTGACACTTGCAACACTCTGCTCCTATTTTTTATTGAAAAAGTCAATAAAATCCACCAGCACCTGGGCTCCTCTGTACTTAATAGCGACAAAACGGAACTCCTCCTCGTTGGTACCAAATCCACCCTACACAAAACCAACAGTTTCTCTCTCACTATTGATAGCTCCACTGTGTCCCCCTCCCTTCAGGTCAAGAGCCTGGGTGTCATCCTTGATAGCTCACTGTCTTTCCACTCCCACTCCCACCCACACAATATAACCTGTCGCTGTCCCTCTCTCACCCCTCACACCACAGCTATCCTTGTCCACAGTCTCGTCACTTCCCGTATTCACTATAGTATTGCAATTCACTTCTTTTCGGTGTCCATCAGAAATTCCTCCATAAACGTTAACTGGTCCAGAATTCTTCAGCCCGTATCATCATTAGAACCCCCTCCGTTCATCACATCATCCCCATCCTCCAAGAGCTTCACTGGCTCCCTGTCAAACTGAGAATCAACTTCAAAATACTCCTCTTTACATTTAAAGCCATCCATAACTTTGCCCCC